ACGTACGAGGTTCAGGGCGGGAGCGAGGAGACTGAGGAAGCACGTTGAGGATGAAGTAGTTTTCCCTGGGGGCGACTTTTCTAAAGTGAAAGGGATGAAGACCGATGTCAAAACGCAGCATCAGCATGATGCTACCGAGGGGAAGTGGTTCCATTCGGGGGGAGAACAAACACCGTGTATATACGGCCAATACCCTTGTAGTCTCCGCCCCCTCTCCCCTAGCTCGCGATCTCCATCCCAGGCTCACAGATGGCGACTTGCTCGAAGATCTGGGGTGGACCCCAGAAAATGCGCACGCGGACTACGGCATTCGTGCAATGGAACGGAAGAAAAACACCGCGGCCTTCTGCAACCATCACAAAGGGTTCAAATCGGTGCAGGGAGGGATCCACTCGAGTGTTTTGTGAGACGCCTCACGCACCTGATTGATGCATGTTGAGATAGAATGTGAGGCGATCGGCGGGGGGGGATACCTAGAACGAGAGAGGCGGTCGACAGGCCGATCGGACTCAGGGGAGGGGAGGTGCACCCCCAGCACGGCTCGACCATCTACAAGAAGCTTGACTACAGCGATGTGGAGACTCAGGACTCCACCGACGATGACGACGACGCTCCAGGGCCGCGGGAGGGCCCAGGGCTCTTGAGGGCGGATTGATGTATTTATGCATGTGTACACAGGCACATATATGTACATCTATACGTTCGTACATACACATACGCACATGCACATGTATACGCACATGTATACACACGTGTCCACATATATAAATATACATACATACACATACACATACATACACATGCATGCAGTCATACATGCATGTATGTACATGTGTGTATGGGAATGGGTGTGTCTGGGTGTATGCGCATGTGTATGTAGGATTGCATGTATACATGCGCACACATGTGAACAAGATGTACACATGTCCATGTATACGTGTGTCTACGTGTGTATGGTTGTATATGCATGCCTGCACGTCTGCGTGAAGGTGTGGTCTAGATGCACGTCTTATACATACTGCAAACGCACTGTCGTTGCGTTGCTACTGCATCCGCCCCGCAGGGCCACGACCAGACGATCGGGAAGCATAAGGAGACGGCCGAGTTCGACTTGAACCAGGCTTGTGGATCAGGAGGTCCAATTGCGAAGGCGGGGGGGAGCGGAGGGGGAGACGGAAGGAGGAGCAACAGGAGAGTCAACAGGAGGGGATGGCGGGGAGGATGAATTCAGGGAGGGCGGGGTCTAGGAAGACAAGGTAGGGAGGGATGGCATGGGCAACTGGAGGAGAGGGTGCTGAAATACCTCGACCTCCAGCGTCATCAAAAACAACGGAACGCTTGTTCCCAGAGTTCGGGCCTCTCGAGGCCAGCCGACTCGATCTAAATGAAAATCTTGAGGACAGATGAAACAATGAAGACATTGGAAGTCTTGGTAGTGCTGCCAGGCGGAGCCCCGTTCTGGATCCGAGAGCTCCTACGAGTCTGAATACAGCTACTCGGACGCCCACCCCCCCGCCTGCTGTTCTCTCAGACGACCGTGCACTCGACTTGGAAGGCGGAGTGACCACGATGAGGGGGCAGGAGGAGGAGGAGGAGAATGAGGGAACAAAAGGAATCATGAGGATGATGGGAGGAGTGAGCTGGAGGACAGCAGGAAACAGTATGAAGGCAACCCCGCGTCCCCCAGCATAGACTGAGGACTCGGACGAGATCGTCGAGCTGACGGCACAGGGGTCGTCTGGCCCATCCTTGGCATCTACACTCTTGGGCGAGGCCACGAACTTGAACGCAATCTTCACTGGCATGATGGAGGGGGCTGGGGTTCAGCCCGCTATTAACCCAGACGTCCGATGCCCCGACCATTTTCCCAGGGGCGATTTCTGAGCCTGTCCTTGTGTTTGAGGGCCCCGAGCCCAAACTAGCAAAGATCATCAGTGTTGATGTTGTTCAAGGCGTCGGAGGTCTGGGAATGTATGCATGATTGTATGGATGCACATCTATATGACCAGATCCATGTAGTTGTTTGTGTGTGCACGTATCCGTGCGTGTGCATGCGCCTCGGCTTACACGTGCACGTATGCGTGTACGCGTACGTGCATGCGCGCGTATTATTTTGCACCCATACATACACATGCGTTTACATGTACACTGCACACTGGGCAAGGGAGGAGAACAACAACCCGTGCGTGGCCCCCTTCCAGACGCAGCTCAAGAAGACCTCCGAGGCGCTCCTCAAGCAGATCGAGTCGCTCACCAAGATCGTGCAGGGGACGAAGTCTGCATCTTAGCACAGGGCCTGTCCGATGAACGTCGGGATGCTGGCCCCCCCGAGTGTATGTTTGCTTCGAGTGCCAGGTTTAACGCAACGGTTGTGTCGGACATGTGTGACCGACGGTCAGTTCCTGCACGTGTCCAAATGGCATCGGGTGCATTTGCGCACATATACTAGAGGGTAGAAGGGAGAGGGAGATGTAGAAGGACAGCGGAGGGGAGATGGAGAGGGGGGGGAAGGGCAAGGAAGCGGAGGAGCATGGATGAACAGGAAAAGGAGGCGGAGGAGCATGGATGAGCAGGACCCCTCTCGCATCGCCCCGCCCCAGGGTCCACGTCCGACACGAAGGACGCCCAGCTCGCGGTCAACGAGGCTAGGCAGCTGTTGCGCGGTGTTGCTCGAGGGGGGAAGTGTCGAAACATGTTTTTTGCTTCGGTGCATTGGGGGCCCTCTCTGGGCCTTCGGACTTTTAAAACAACGAATGGTGATAAACAAAACTGATCTCCCGTGAAAACGTTGGAACTTTCCCACGCCTGCAGGAGTTACAGAGTGTAGCAGCATGGATCCATAGATGAATCCATGGATCCATGGATGGATGGATCCATGGATCCATAGATCGACGGTCATGGGTGGATGGATTCATGGATTGATCGAGCTGCGGGCTGAATTATGCAGCTGTCATGAGAGTGCAGGATGAGGAGGAGGAAGAGGAGGAGGAGAATGAGGAGGAGGAGGAGGAGCTCGAGGAGAGTGGGGACGAGGGCGGCCCGAGGATCGAGGACAGGTGACTTCGGAATCCCCCGTTCAAGAGGCCAAGAACCTGTACAGCGTGCTCAGCCCCGTGATGGAGTCGTTCGCCAAAGCGCAGGCCGACCTCGCCAACAAGAAGAAGGGGGGCGGCAAGTAGGGGCTTGCTTCGGCCCCGTGTTTGCTGGAGCAGGGTGACAGCAGCAACAGGGGGATGAAGCAGGTGGAGGAGGCAAGGAGGAATCGGAGACGGATGAGGATGAGGAGGGGCAACGAGGGACCCGTACAATGGCGGAGGATCCTCGAGGGAGGGGCAAGCTGATGAGTTGGACCCTGCTCATGGTCTGGTCTCACGACTGCTATGCGTAGCAGTCCTGTGGATCTAGGGTGCTTGAGTCGTGCGAGCGTGGCGCGCGTCCGAGATGAGAGACACTGCAGCGAGGAGCGCTGCGTACGCCTGAGAAAAGATGATGCGCATCGGCTGGGCATTCACGGACCGAGCATTGCAAGCATGGACAGGATCGGCGATGACGACGGGCAGAATGCTCATGAGCACGATGATGATGATGATGATGATGGTGATGATGATGATGGTGATGATGATGATGATTATGATGATGATGATGCTGATGATGATGATCATGAGGAGGAGGAGGGCCACAAGGATCATGAGGAGGGGGGAGACGAGGAACTGGTGACGATGAGGACATGGGGAAGGGAAGGATAATTTGATGAGGGGTGGAAGAGGCAGTTCGGATGGGCATGATGCCTGAGTGCACGGCTGTTGCTTGAACACATTGTACGCAGGAGTTGCAAGTGTGTTCGCCGCTCTCGCATGTGAGCTGAAGCTGCGGTTGATGTGGTCTTGGATCGGCCGCCTCATCGCTGCAGGTTTGTAACCCAGGTCGTGCATATGTTGTGTTGTTCGGTTGGTCTCCCGAGGGCTGCAAGGTAGGAGGCCAGGGTGGCCTCGGAGGAACGCCTCCGACGGGACATCGACTGAGCATCCCCTGGGCCGACGTAGCGTCGGCATCGATGAGCAGGAGGATCCCCCACTCCCAGGAGCAGGAACTCGAATCCACAAATGGCCATCTTGTTTGCACGGAGCGCGAGGCCCTGCGAATTCCTTATTTCAATAATATGTTTTAGTTTTTTTTCCGCACAGCCATTCTTCAGCTCGAGGTGCAGGTGCAATTTGCCCATCCCCATCCGTCGGCATGTCGTCGGGCCGAGCAGCAGCTGAAGAATTAGAAACCGATCCGTGTCTCGGACTTCGGGACACAAACGTGGACAACGGCCTTGGTCTCAGGAGGCACCTACTAGAGCAATACAAGGCTGGACTCCTGACGGCTACTGGAGTTTGCGTTACGGCCTGGCACGCTCAGCGTGGAGGCTGCCGTGGAGTCGATGACTTAGCCCTGGCGCCGACCAGCACGCATCAGGCGGAACATCTGCGGGCAGCAATACAGGTTAGATCGGAGACGTCATTTTATTATGCTATGGTACCGATGTGGAACCAGGAGCAGAATTGCAGAACTAAAGTGAGGTTCCCTGTTAATCTTCCACATGAGCAGTTTGCGGAATCTTTCCAGGCAGATCCACGACAATGGGATCCTCAATTCTTCCCTGAAGCTGACATGTCCCCTGTCTTCTCGACTCACGAGGTGGTGGTGGCAAACCCTGGGCGGGCATGCCCCGTGGGGTTCTTCTCAGACGGAGTGCCACACACAAAAAAAGGATTCGTTCATAGCCTTTTACTTTAGCAACGGCCTCACAGGTAAGCGTTTCCTGATTTGCAGTTGCAGAAAAAGTGACATGTGCTGCTGCGGTTGCCGAGGGTTTTGCACCATCGGTGCAGTCCAAAGGGTTATTGCCTGGTCCTACAATACGTTGGCTGAAGGGGTATGCCCTTCCTCGAACCACCTTGGCCTGCCCCTCGAGGATGAGCTGCGTTTCAACCAGAGGGGCTTTCTTTTGGCAGGAGGATACGTGGGCGCCCTCACGGAGATGAGGGCCGATCTCTTGGAGATCACGACGGCCCTCGGCTTTAAGATGTCTTCGAACCACGTGAACCCATGCTTCGCATGCTCGTGCGCCCGCGACGATCTTCACAAGTACCCAAGTACAATAGCCGAATGCACGTGGGCGAACAGGGACGAGGAGGCTCACGAGATCATGCTGAGGCGGACACTTGTTGTAAGGGACATACAGAGCAAAAGGGTACTCAAGCAGCTGATGAAACCGATGCATTTCGACGACAAGGTTGGAGGGTATGCGTTGTTTGAAGACTTCGCGCCCCTTGCCCTCAAGAAGGGCAGCCGACTGATCGAACAAGGACTAGTTGTTGGCTTACAAGACTTGCTCAGCATCGATGAGTTCCCTACGCCGTTCACTTTCTTCGATACTACAGCGTCGATGGGGCTGAACTTGGTGTGCCCCCTCCTGTCCATCAAGGGGTTCTCCCTCCGCTGCGTCCATCTGGACGCGATGCGCGTGTTGGACTTAGGAGTCAGCCAGTTTGTCATAGGGAGTATTTTCAAGCTGCTCGTGAGCAAGAACTTTGTCAAGTCCACGAAGAAGTATGCTCATAATCGGCGTCTCGAGAACCTCTTTCACCTGCGCAGGACTGACCCAAAGCTTAGACCATACATTCCGTCCATGTGTAAACGCCAAGGCGCCAGAAAACCACACGTGTTTTGATGTTTGCTTGCTTTCTGTGTACGCCTTGCGTGTTTCAGAACCCGTACTAACTCCGAATATTGCCCCCCGCAGGAGAATGAAATCCTTCTACAAGTCCACGAAGCACCTGCACCCAGAGAAGGCCCAGAACAGAATCGACAAGCTGACGCTCAAAATGTTCATGAAGGGCCGCTTGAAGGCCAAGGCGGCCGAGAGCCGCCACCTTCTACCTCTACTGCCGATGGTGTGCCGTGAAAACGCAGCCCTGCTAGCAGACAAGGCCTTCCTTCTGACTGAAGCATGTGACGCTTTGAACGATTGCCACGACATCATGTACCGAGAGAGGAGGCAAATGTCGGCCGAGGCTGTGCAGCGCCTTCAGCAGTCAATGCTGCGTTTTTTTATTTTTTGGAAGCGATCGGGCGGCAAGAAAATTTTTAAGCACCATGTTGCGGTGCACTTGGTGCAGCGGGTTGCCCAACATGGCAACCCGCGGTACTATTGGTGCTACCCCGACGAGGGTGAGAACCGCCTGATGGCGTCGGTGGCCAAAGCCCTCCACGGAGGCTCCACCTTCTACTACAGGTTCCTGCAACGAGTGCTTCCTGAGAAATGCTAGGGATGGTTAAATCATCCTGTGGTGTTTTTCTTTTCTTTTCTTTTTTTTACTACTCTCCCCCTCTCTTCCGACAGTGGCCCTCCGCCCTCCTTCGAGCTCGTCTCCTCCCCGCCCCGCTTGCATGTAGCGGCAGCTTGAGCCATGGCAGGGAGAGAGGGAAAGAACCAGGGCGACGGAGGAGGGAGGAGCAGGGGAGAAAAGGGACGATACCACGGAGGAAGGATGCTATACATATGCTGTGGATAAAATTATAACCGATGATCTACATATATATATATATATGTATATATTCGTTTCGCATTTTTCGGCGTACGGGCCCCTGGGCACAGGCCGGGAACGGCAGACCGCGCTGTCAAGGCGGCCGCAGCCGCAATGTCCCGCGACGGGGGCGGGTGAGGAAGGAGGGGGATGAGGAGGAGGAGGAGGGGGAGGAGGAGGAGGAGGAGTCACCAAGCTCGAAGAGCTAAGCCACAAATTTTCGGAGGTCCGCGCGGATTTTTGGGGTCGGCGCTGGCGTCCGCCTTTGGCGCCGCCCTTGGCGCGATCCGCGCGCCAGGGGGGTGGGTCCAGCGCGGGGCCCCAAAAAATCCGCGCGAACTTCCGAAAATTTGCGTTCATCTGGTTGTTCGGTCCTCCCTCCTCCTCCTCCTCCCTCCTCCTCCTCCTCCTCCTCCTCCTCCTCCTCTTCGACCTCCTCCTCCTCCTCCTCCTCCTCCTCCCTCCCTCCTCCTTGTTCCGTCCTCCTCCTCCTCCTCCTCCTCCCCCTCCTCCTCCTCCTCCTCCCTGAGGCCTGGGGACAGCCGAGGAAAACGGGAGAGAAAGACGATGATGTGATCCCTGCCAGGGTCCGAGTATACGCTTCGGTTTCACATATGTATCACTAGTTTCACCTATGTCTCACCAGAAGTTTCACGTCACCAGAAGTTTCACGTCTCAAGACACAGATCGAAGAGGATGCGCGGCGCAGAGTTCGGAGTGGAAGAGGTCGGCGCGCGTGCTCTATCCTTCACCCGTTGTTCACGTTTTCTGCTGCCTTCCCCTCTGCTTGCGTCCGCCCGACCGTGGGCTACACATGGATACGTGGATTGATTCGTGTTGGGTATAGACAGGCATGCATGTTCTACATGTACAAATATAAAGCGTATAATACGTTTATACGGGTGTGTGCACGTGTGTATACACGTATCAACGTGTAAAAGACGTATTAATGTTTAATGTGTACGTACCACGTATCATGTACGTATAACGTATAATGTGTACGCACAACATATAAACGCCGAAGGCCGCAATTTCGATCAATGGCTCAATTTCCGTGGTAGCGGAGCCTGGCGCTAATCAGTGTCCACGCCGCCCCAGGCCTCAGGCCGACCCGTTTTCCGAGCCCACGGGCGCTTGTTGATTTCGCAAGCCTCTTGTTGTTGCTCACGCCGCTTGTTGTTCTCAAGACCACGCGTCTTGATTTTTTTCAAACGTATTGATTTTGAGCGAATGTGTTGATTTTTTCAATACGCCCCACGACGTCTTGAAACAATCAATACTTTGGATGTCTGGGGACCCCCGTAGACCGCCGGGCGCAAATGGCAGCATCCGCAGCACGTTGTTCAAACTCGCCATGATTCCTGACCCTGCGGAACCCCGCCAGCCTTCCGCCTCTTGTTCGGCCTCTTTGTGCTGTCCTGTAATACCATTGGATCCATTCTGTCCCGTCGCTGAAGATGCGCTTCAGCGCCCTTCTCGGGGCTCGAGCCTTCCACGTCCGCCACCTCCGCTGCGCCGAAATCCAAGTCGGCGCGGGCCCGCCCGAGTTGGCGCCGCCGAGGCCCGCCGGAGCCGCGGGCGCGCGCTCGGCGCCCGGCCGGCCCCAACTCCGTTGAACACATGTTTCAATGAAAAACGCGAATCGTTAAATTGCTTCGGTACCAACATTATGGATTGATTCGGCCAGGCACGATAATTCACTAAACCGAAAAGCGAGAGTTACTCAACCGGCCCCAAACAAGTATCAAATTCGATGGTCATCGTCTTGGTTTGCCAACCTAGGGCGTCGACCGCGCGGCGACGTTCACGGCTGGGTCGATGGCGGCAAACAACTCCCAGGGTTCTCTGCCCGCGCGGCCGCCGCCGCAGGCGGCCCCGCGGGCCGGCGCCCCCTCCCGGGGGGCCCAAACATTGCTTCTTGGGTACCTTTTGGGGCGTTCTTGAAGCGCTCTTGGGCGCTCTCGGGGTCGTTGCGGGGCACTCTCGGGCTTCTCTCCGGGCCCCCAGGGGCCGTCCTGGAGCTGTCGAGGCCTCGGAAGGCCGTCGGAAGCGACGAGGCGGGAAGGCGCAAATCAGTGCCTTGCCTTTGGATAGCGCTGCGTCGCGGTCACTCGGGGCCGCCTTGAAGCGATTTTGGGGCCTCTGGCGGCCTCCTGGGGAGGCCCCGCGGCCACTCGAGGCCGTCCTGGAGCGGTCTCGAGGCCGCTTTAAACATCTTGGGGGCCATATTGGGCTATCGCGAGCCATCTTGGAGGTCGCCCTAAGCTCTCTGAGGCCCTCCCGGAGCCAGCCATCCTGGGCCATCTTGGATGCCCCGACCGCGCGCGGGGCGCCGCGCCCTGGCCCAGGGGGGGCGGGGCGGGGGGCGAACCCGCCCCCGAAGGGGGAAAGGAGGTTGGACAAAGAGCTTCCCTAGACCACCTGCGCCCGGAGAGCCCGCGGGATTCGCCGCGCCTTCGCGGCGTCGTTCCGCGCGGCGCGGCATGCGCGCCCCGATCTCGCGCCGCGAGATCCCGCGGGTCCCGGGCAGTGATTGCCGCGGGCTGTTCCTCCGCATTGCACCTCTCCTGCGCCGCCCCCCCCCCCCCACCCCACCCGCGCGCAGCGCGCGCGGCCCGCCGATTTATGTGAGCGAGTGTTCCGCGTGAGACGCCGGTGCTCTGTCGCGTCGCAGAGTGCGTCGTGGTCGCCGTTCGCCTCGCGCGGCCCTGGAATGGAATGGCCGCGCGCCCTGAGGCTGCGCCGACGCCGTCGCGCATTGGCCCCCAATTGCCCGGGCGCGCGCCCCATGTCGCAGCGCGCGCGCGCGCGCGGTCGCGCCGTTGCGGCGCGCTCACTTCGACAGCCATGTCTGAGCCCATGTGGAAATGGGCATGGCCCCATTTGGTTGCGCGCTTGGCCGCGCGAGAGGCTGCGCCCGTAGCTCTCCTCTCTGCGCGGCCGTGGTGCGCTCGGGTTTCTGGATGCGCTCGCTGCTGACAGGTGCCTCTCCGATGGGATATTCCGCGCGCGTCTTCGCCGCGGCAGCGCGCGTGGCAATTGTTCTTGCGACGCGCGCGCCAATGGGCAAGGTTCGGCGAGCCACTCGCCAGAGGCCGCGTCGCTGGATGCGCGCGCGGTCTCTGGTTGGCACGTGGCGATGTCCGCGGCCGCGGCCATGCCAGCGCATTCGCGTTATCGCGCGGCGACTGTTACAGCCTTTGCGCGCGGTGGTTCTCGCGAGGTGCAGGGCGACGGCCCTGGCCGCCAGTCGCAGCTCGGGTTCAGGATGCGTTCTTCGTGGCTCTGCCGCGCGTCGCGCCCATATGCCGGAGTTCGTGACTATGTTTTTGGGTGCGCGCGCGTGGCCAAGCAATTCGATTGCTTGTCTTTTGTACGGAAAGTATATTGCAGTTGACACATTGCGGCCACGCAAGCATATCGTGTCGATGGTCAGCGAGTTGCCTCGACCTTTACGCGCCAAGTGGTTCGCGAGGGCCGCGTGCGTCTCGCAATCGTTGCGGGCGGGCAGGTATTGCGCAGTCGTTGGTGCGTCGACGATGTTGCGTTTGGCAGTTGGCGGTGGCCGACTCTTGATTTTGGCGGTCGTTTATAAAACATTCGCCGTTGTTGCCTCTCCCTGGTTGTCTGCGCGCGGCGATTTGGCCGCTCGCCCTCGTGCGCTCGCTCGGGCCGGCCCGCGCTCGCGAGGGCCGCGCGTTCTCGGGCGGCAGGTTCAACTCTAGCTACATGTGCTAACGCCACGCATATTCTAAATTATTTATTTGGTTGATTCTCAAGTTTGGGGCGGTTGTGGCACCGGCTCGAATTTTCCCGCCCTAGGTGGGAAAATTGCAAGCGCATCCAGAAACTCACCCGGGCCAGGCAAACAGAGCGACGCCTCCAGCAAAATAAGCACGCGTTGCCTTATATTCGAGGCATAGAGAGTCCGCCGGCAGCCGCAGGGCCCAGGGGGCGAGAACGCATTCTCGAGATGAAAAGCCACGCTGGCGCGACGTTCAAAGAACGGCATGACATCGTCGAGGTATTTGCTAAACCCCGCGAATATTTGCTATGGTGAGCGCGCGGAGCGGCAGCCAGGATGGCACTCATTTGCTCGACGGTCACCGACGCATGTCAGATATCACCCCGGAGGAGCTCGACGTCGCGATCCAAGGAATGAAACCGGGCAAGGCGGCCAATGATCGCGGTGTTCGTGTCTAGCTCTTCAAGGTGGTCTGCCGAATCTTGAGAGGGTTGATGCTCGCCGCCCCCCGCGCGATGCATGCCCGGATCAGCGTTTGCCGGACAGTTTGCTTGCTGCCTGGGCAACCGTGCTGTTCAAGGAAGCAGGCGCCACCCTGCCAGCCAATGGCATTTGTTTTGCGATGTCTGTCGTCATCTACATGTGTCTAGCCGAGTGCTATGTGGTCGTCTACGTTGCTTCGCTGTGTCGCGGCAATCGGTGGACCAGGCAGCATGCCAGAAAGGGTTCAGCACGGTGGACCATCTGCCCGCAAGCGCCCGCATAACGGAACATCGCCGCGAGTTCGACGTTGACTTGTGGGTGGGCGCGATCGACTTCGAGGAGGCATTCGACACCGTGGAGCATGGCGCTTTCTGGTCGGCCCTATCTGAGCCAGGGGTGCAATCCGAATCGATCGACAAGTTGAAAGGATTGCAGGTTCATCGCGCGGCAACAGTTGCGACCAGCGGGGGAATCCGCCCGTTCGATCTCGCGCGACGGGTAAAGCATGGAGACCCCATCAGTTCATTTCTTCGCGTGGCCACCATGGAAGCCGCGCTCCGCCGGCTGAGGGGCAGGTGGAATGAGTTGAACCCCCGCAGACAAGGGCAGTGCGATTGCCTGGTAGTGGGCGATGCAGGCGACCCGTTGACGAATGTGCGTTTCGCCGATGACGCCCTGATGCTGGCGGGCTGCAAAAGGCGCGCGCGGGGAGAACAGCCGTGCTCGCTCGTGCTACATCTCGTCCGCAGAGCGCCCAGTGTGGCGGGCGCGCTGTGCGAGTGTTTCCAGCGGGGGAATCAGAAAGATGACTCGGTCGATGTTCACGATCTTCATGCAGGGGAATCAGGTTCTCACTGGGCGATTTTCACCTTGCGGAATTCAAGGTCAAACTTTCTGCAGGTTGGGCGCCTTTGCAAGTTGCAGCAGGTTCTGCGCGACAGGCAAGCGCCCTTGGAACGCGTGCTGAAACTGCTGCTACCTTGCGCCGCCCCGCGTCTCTTGCACGCCGCGGGCGCGCGGGCGCCGACGGCGGGCCAAGAAGAAGGGTCTTCGGGCGACGCGGCGCGCAATGCTCTGGCAGATGGGCGGCGCGAGGCGACGCCCAGTGGGGCGCTGGGTAGACCTTGCCAAGCGCGCCGCCCGCGCGAGCCCGGCCCTTGCAGAGCGCAATGGCGCGGAGGACTGTGCGAGCTGTTTCTGGAAGGCCAAGTGGGCGTAAGCTGGCACAGTGGCCGCTGAGAGGAACAGGCGCTTGACTGCGCGCCTCATCACTTGGATGCCCGGGTTCCGGGTCATTGCCGGGCGGAACACCCGGGCGCAGAAAAAACGCTGGGCAGATGCATGAACGTTTGGTTTTGTATTTCGCCACTCTCCTGTTCTGCACGCTGCGCTCGGGCTTCCAGCCCGGCGCGCCGCTGGGGCATGCGACCATTCGCCTCCCCGCGGGCCGTTTTCTTTTTCCCACCTCTTCGAAAAGATACCTGGGGGGTCCAGCCCGCGCCCCCCCCCTGCGGGGAAATCGCTGGGGGTTACCCCACCCTCCCTTCTCGGCAACGACGTCGACGACGACGATGATGACGACGACGGGCGACACACGGCGCAGGACGCATGACGCACGACGACGACGACCGACGACGACGACAACGCCGGCGCCGACGCTGACATCGACGCCGCCGACGCCGACGCCTACGACGGCGACGACGCTTACGACGATTACGCTGGCGATGACGACGACAACGACGGCGGCGGCCGCGGCGACGACGACGACGCACGATGCACGACGCCCGACGCGCGACGCACGACGCGCGACGACGCATGACGCGACGACGACGACGCTGACGACGACGACGACGACGACGACGACGACGACCGACGACCGACGACGACGGCTCCGGCACGGCGCTGGCGCCGACAACGACGACAACGACGCCAGACGATGACGCACGACGTGCGACGCATGACGACAACGACGTTGACGCAACGACGGCGACGATGACAACGCCGACGCCAACGACCACGACGACGCCGACGACGACCACGACGACAACGCCAGCGCCGACGCTGGCACCGACGAAGCCGACGCCGACGCCAACGACTGCGACGACTCCGACGACGCATGATGACGACGAAGACGACGACGACGACAACGAGCAAAATAGAGTAGGCGTATTCTACGCTCACCTTATACTATAGTCGAATAAGGCAAAATGGTTAGTTAGGGTACAGAAGAGTAGAGCAGAGCTGAGTAGAGTAGAGTATTTCGGGTACGTACGGTAGACCACTGTCGGGTAGAGTAGAGTAGGGCCCGAGTAAAGTAGAGGAAGGTCGAGTACATTACAGTAGAGCAGAGTACAGGATATTACTCTAATATAGTAGAGTAAAGTAGAGTTGAGTAGATAGGAGCATCGTAGAATGGAGACAGGAAACATTAAACTACAACTGAGTATTTCAGGGTACGGTAGGTTTGCATAGGGAACGGTCGAGCCGAATAGGACGGAGTCGAGTCGAGCAGAGGAACACGGAGTGCAGTAATGTGGGGTCGAGCAGGGCAGAGTACAGTAGGGCCTTAGTAGGATACGGAAACAGCTGGATCGAACCCTTAGTAGAATTCTATCAGAGACGGCGCCTGGCGCGGGCGCTGGCGACAGGTGCGCCGCCACCGCCGCTGCTGGCATCGTCGTCGTCGTCGTCGTCGTCGCCGGGGGGCAAGGGGTGTGTGGATCCCCCCGATAATTTTCAGAGGGGGTTCTGCCCCCGCAGTGATTTTTCCCGGGCGGGGTGGGGATGTGGAGGGTTCCAGACACCACCCGGCAATTTTGCCACAGGGCGGGGCGGGGGAGGGTCTGAACACCACGCGCTAATGCTCCGAAGGGGGATGCGGGGGGGTCCGGACCCCCTGGGTTTTCCCAAGGGAGGGAATTTTGTGGGGCCCTTGGTTTCTGACCCCCCCACTCGGATTTTTTTAGGGGGGCCCTTGGTTTTTGACCCCCCCTTGCTCATGCCAGCGACGGTGGATCGCGATCCTTCCAATGTACTGTGCCACGATATTCGGCGGCCTGCGTAAGCCACCTCATAAGGTCGCCACGTTCTCTCGCACGAGACCCGCGGACGACATGTGTGCGCCGTACCGCGCTGGCGACTTCCGAGGCCTTGTCGATCGTTGGCCCAGGAATGGTACGGTGCATAGGTTTTCGGCCCCCAAGGCCGAAGAACCATTCACCGTACCGCGCTAGAGCGTCGCATGAAAGGAGCCCACACATGGTACGGTTCATAGGCGCCGCTTTTACACAAGACGCGCCAGGTGAGTGACGAAGAAAAACGGATTCGACTGCCGACACTCGCGCGCAAGTTGCCCGCGTAAAGTCGTTCGTGAGCGTTTTCGTTTCTAGCGTAGCGTATCGCGCTGGCGGCCCGCGTAAGCTGCGGCGGAAGGTCGCTAGGCCATCTCGCGTGAGGCCCGTTTTTGACTGTCGCCCAGGTGGCAGAGAAGCTCACAGACACCAGCAGGGACGTCAGGATCGCGGCGATCCTTTACTTCGGCAAGTTCGAGGACGCCGTGCCGCAGCACCGCGACGCGGTCTGCGCCGCCCTGCGAGACAAGGACGCCAACGTGCGCGCCGCTGCGGTGACCCTGTTTGGCACGCTCAAGGATCCGCGGGCGACAAGGGCAGTGGCCATGAATGGTTGGGACCGGCTGTGGCCAGAAAGGTGCCAGTTCAGGGCCCACGTCGATCCGATCAATCTGATCCGATGCCGATTTCGCCCAGCCCGATCTGATCCGAATTCGATATTTCATCGACCCGGTGCGACCAGATGCTCGCACGGCGTTGTTGTGCATCCTAGCGTAGGCGATCCGATGCAATTCCGTCTCCGTGCCGATGCAACCCGATCCGATTCACGCTCCGATCCGACCCGATTTGTCGATTCGATGTTGACCGCTCCTTGGGCCAACTGGTGACTTCGGCAGCAAATCATGAAAACCTTACATATCGGTGTAGTTCCGTCTTTGCACTTCACTCGCCTCGATTAGCGGTTGGTAATCGATGGAATAGCGTCGACTAGCGTCGATTAAGTCAGCGACGGTTAGCGTGTGTCGATTCGCGTCGATCCGCAAAAGCCAGCAATATGGCATGAGAAGCTCCCATGAGTTGCCACCGAAAGTGTCAGCTGATCGTGCAGATGAAACGCCCAGGCCTCCGCATGAAGCTGGTCGAGCAGTTTGCCTGTTATTTTCTTTTTTTTACCCCTCAGACCTCCAACGCTCTCCTGCCGGAGGATCCTGCACAGCCTCCGCGTAGTCGTTTCCGTCCTGTTCCTGCTCCTCCTCCTCCTCCGCCTCCTCGTGGCTGCGGTGATGTTCCCGCGTATGGCGGAGGCATGGCATAGATGATAGCGCGACCTGCGTTGTCACTGACTCCGCACAGTTCTGCTTCCAGGGAGTTGTGTCGGTGGTCTTCCATGGCGTTGAGGGAGGCACGGTATGGTGGATAGCGCGAGCTGCGCTGTCCCATGTGACGCCGCACGCGTGCGTTGGGAGCCGGACACAAAATCGGTTACGAGGGCGATTTTACCAAGCGCGTTTGCTGACAGTTGCCTGTTGTGAAATTGAGGTTCGCTTCAGCGCCGTGAATGTCCAGTGTTGCTGTTTTCAGGTGCATAGAACGTGAATGGTGCCGTGTGGCGCCCGAATTTTTCGAAAGCGTATAGGTCCGCGGGATGTGTCTTCCCCGCTCTCCTGGTCTAGGTGCACATCGTATGGTGAATCACTTCAGCCACCAGCTGACGGTGGGCTGCGTCAGCAGCGCTTTGAATTGGATGTCCACGGGGTCAATCTGTTTCGATCAGTTGGTTGATGTTTGTGACGTGTTGGAATCGGCAGGCCAAAGCCTTACAAGGAGATGAAGTGTTTTGTCCCAAGCAGCCCACGCACGGCAGCCGAAAGTGAATGGAAGACAGGGCGATTTGAGCTTTCGCCATCTGACAGCCCAGTCCTCACAGCAGGACAGCGGGCCTTTGCGGAGCTGGCCTGCTGCGCTTTCCGATAACGCGTTGATCCTCCTACTCTTGCTCTTCCCCCCTCCTCCTCCTCCTCCTCCTCCTCCTCCTCCTCCTCCTCCTCCTCCTCCTCCCCCTCCTTCAGTCAATGCACCCCTTCGCACCACCAGGCTCCTGCCCTTCTCACCCATCCTGCTTGCTTCCCACTGTCTGCCCCTTGGCTTGACATTCTGTGTTCCGCAGCTGTGTTATCGTCAATTGACGGCTCAGGTGTAACGGATAAGGAGCGCGGCCGCGCGCGGCCGCGCGTGCGTCGGCCGGCGGGCCGGCCTCCTCCCTTAACGGCGTCGGCCAGCGTCGGCCAACGTTATATATGTTGCATGCTTAACGGAATTCGTTGTTCTTGCCCATGCCCTCTGTGGAACCCGCTGACTATGGGACACCATCGGGACACATTGCAGGGATAACGAATATCCAGGCAAAAAGGCTCCTTTTCCTTCTCCTCCTCCCCCTCCTCCTTATCCTTTTCCTCCTCATCCTCCTCGTCCTCCTCATCCTCCTCATCACATTCATCCCTTTCCCCCTCCTCATCCTCCTCGTTCCCCTCATCATCCTCCTGCTCCTCATTCACCTCCTTGTCTTCCCCTCCTCCTGCAACACCTCACGTGACGCTGGGTCCTCCTTTCCTGCCTGGGCCCCATTAGTCAAAACGATTGAGTTTTCTTGTTCGGCGGTGCTTCGCAGCCTGTTTTTCATTCCCCAGGTGTTCAGGAACATCCGAGCGCAAACGAGTGCCAGCGCTCCCGTAAGTTGTTGATGATTATCCTCCCCCGCCGGCTGGGAAGCAAACGATTTTCACGCACATACTGTGGTCCATGTCCCCGCGCTGGATTTGTGTTCCCCCGACCGTTTCTTCCGACGCCACGTTGGGGCTCCCGGCCACTTCAAGCACACGGAAACGACGACAGCCGAAACGGCGGCACAGCCATTCGTTTCGCAACGCATGGGATATCAAGAAGGAGTGTTCGGAAGAACCGATAATCGAGGGCCTACCGAACGTGACACAAGTATGAGCGCCTTGGACAGGCGTCATAAACCTCATATTCATTCCGATAAGAAAGCATCATAGAACATGTGTGAATTGACAGAGGGAGATTCGTCAGTTGATCCAAAAGTTCCGAGGAGTTACCGTCGGATTGAAGGGATGGCACAGCCAGGACTTCAACAGGGGAGCCTTTTGGAACTGTGGTGGCACACCTTGGCTTTCAGAAGTGGACTGATATAGATCTTGAAATGGAAGAGTTGCTGGATTTGGAAACTTTCGAAGTATCAGGTGTTGAACGTTTGGGTACCGGGGACGCTGTGGACAGGGCGAATATGTGAGCGATATGCAATCTGAGAAATTGAGTTCCCACTCGATGCAGAGGAATGAAGAGTATTCTCGATTTCGCATTTCACCTGGACTGTCGTTTCGTCTTGAACCTCTTTTTGATTTGTGTGCCGATCCGTTTCATGAGCACGCAATGATTGAGGCAAGTGGGAAAGCTGTTCTTGATTCGGACGACGAATGTCAAAATTAACAGAAAGGCCAACACAAGGTGGATGCTCATCGGCACAGCCGATACTATACCCCTCTGACGCTATACGCACGATAAGGAGTTTGCGAGAAGTTATTTGGACGACTCCTCATCCATTGACGAAGGAATCAAATGATGAAAACGATGACTTGAACAGGCAAATATAGATTACCAGAACTTCACGAGCTTGTCATTCAAGATGAGCGAGATGATTGGGCAACGAACATGGATGAGGATAGCTCCAAGAGGGGTGCGAAGACACGAGAACAGTACACGCCTACCCAGAGTAGCGAGAGGGGACGATCCAGTAAGGCCCCCAGGGCCGAGCGCTCCAGCTCCAGAGGGTTTGATGTCTTCGTTCGCCACGAATCTCATGGAATAGGACCACCAGCAATTTACAGGTACGGGAAGGTTGCTGGTATGCCGGGCCACTGTGCCCTTCCGGCGCAGAGAATCGATGCCCCGGGAAAGCGCGCAAACCGGGGGGGGGGTCATGTCGAGGACCCGCATGTTCTCATTTTTCGAGCTTTTGCCCCAAATGTAGCCCAGCGTGGCTCTGTAATGATTGCATCACAACGGAAGAGCATAATTGCCATCACTATGGGATCCAGGAGTGGAAGATCGAGAGCAATTGAGGGCTGCAAGTGCGCGCGTACAACAAACTCTTCCTGAGGTGCAAGTAAAGAAGCGGGCGGCCGAAGAGGCCCAACGTCGACCTGCGATTTCTGAGGCCGAAGAGCAAGTGATGGCGCAGAGGATGGAGCATGAGAGAACCGTCGTTGTCGAAGATGCGCACGTGCTGATGCGGCTTGCTGAGGCCAATGCAGCAGGCGTCGCGGATGAAGCGAATCGGCGCCTTGCCCAGGAGGAGAATGAGACGTTGAGGATGAGAAATATAGCAGAAAATCTTGTGATCGACCCTCGCGGAAAGCAGAAATACAAAACATCTGCTTAGAGAGAGATGGCTGATGCTGCGAGGCGGGGCGGAGACAGGGAGGCTCGAGACAAAGGCAGCACGAGAGAATCAGGAGTTCCGCAATCAGCTCGAAGCTGCTAGACTTGAGGCCGACAGAGTGAAACCAGAAGCGCTGCGAGCCCTTAGAGATAGGGAACAGAAAACCCAGGCAACCAGAGCGGAGGGCCAGAGGAACATGGTCGATGCCTTGGATCGCTTGAAGGGGCAAGCAGAGGAACCTATAAGAAACAACGCCCTTGTTTATCGGGCTGTAAACGAAGAAAGCAGAAGGTTGAAGTCTGGGCAGCGACGAATGGAAAAAAATATTAATTCAACGCCCGCGCGGCCTACGCATGTCGAGCCACATCCTATTCCAACTATTGCTCGGCTTGATCGGAGAACAGCTATGTTGCGAGCAAGTGCACGACCTGGCGCCTCGAATCAGACATGTTCAATTTGTATGCGACCTTCGTCCGACGTTTGCAAGAGTTGCCTGAAGCACGCATGCGGTGCTCATCTGGATTCGGACGTTGAGCGCTGCAATGAATGCGCGCGGAAAAAAAAAACGGCAGGCCACCAGGGGGAGGATGTCGAGACAAAAGGGGCCTCAACGCGCCTGGCGCCCATAGCGCAGGTGGCGATCCTGTTGGGAAGGCGCCGAGACAATCGGCTTTGCCTAGAGACGATGAGCCTGAATGCCGGGGGGGGAATCTCGCCGACACAATGGGAATGCCGCTTTTCAAATCGGAGAAGTAGGGCCATGACAAAATGCCATTGCTGGCCGCTCCGACAATGTCAGCGCTTCCTTTCGCAGAATCGCACTTCGTCCCTGGGCCAGCTGTTGAGGAGATTTCAGTAGTTGAGGGTGCACAAGGTGTTGATCCTGGGAGTGCCCCCTGCAGTGCAAAAATATAGTGTCATCCGAATGCTCTTGATTTACGGGGCCGCCTTCCTTTCGCAGTCGGCGCAGCCGCGGCTGGTGGAGGAGGTGCGAGTCGAGGAGGTCAGGGCGACGACCAGAGGGATGGCCGGAGCACAGCTCCCAGCAGGGGAATGATTGCATTACAGTGGGACGAGACGGGTAAGTCCAAACCGCCTAGAGGCCCTCCAGGGGGACCGGGCGATGA